TCTGTATCCCAGTGACCGGACTGATTGACATCACTTATTGGTCTGTCTCATCACACTGTCTTTATGTACCACGTACACACTTAATGAATTGTTCTTCATTTGTTAACAGTGAGGTGTTTTTTAAATGTCAAAAAATGTAAAAAAAAAAATCTTTTTTTTTTTACAATAAGCTAGTATTTAAATAGTAGCATTATTTCAACCATTGCATCGAACAATGGAGGTTTGGGTTCTAATTTGTTTTTATGCATACCTGCATGCATGTGTACCAAGATATATGCTCGGAGCCCATGGTGGTCTCACGGTGGAATCAGATGCCCTGCAGCTGGAGTTACAGACAGCTGTGTCGCCATGTGGATGCTGAGAATTGAACTGGTTTCCCCGCAAGGACTCTTAACAGAAATCCAGCCATCTCTCTAGTCCCCAATGGAGACTTTAAAACATAACACATCATTCGTTGTCTTCTCTTGACATTATATAGATAAATTTGTCCCCAAATTAGATCACTAGCTTCCTCTGAAGAGACCTGATTTTGCTTGCTTTTTATAGGCTCCTCCAGTGTTTAATATGGAGCCCAACATATAAAACCTAGATGATAGATACTCATTCCATGTAAATTAAGGGACCTTTGACTCTCTGGTTCTATGGAGAGCTTTTTTTTTTAAATATAGATTATACACTTTTTTTTTCTATTTTGGAAGTTTTGAGAATATAAGCTGTGGTTTTTCTTTCTTTCCGACACAGTATTTTAGAGACGGGTTTATGCAAACTTCAACTCCTACCTGTCTTGTTTGCTGGTACTCTTTGTCCTTCATTGCTTTCCTCCCTTCAACGAGTGTCATTAGTAACATCAACATCCTGGACAAAATGACACACTGTAGACAGAGAGTAAGAAAGCAGAGTTCCCAGTACACACGCGTCTGTCAGACTAATTCACCAGGGAAGCAATTGCCACACCTCGGTTTTCAGTATGGGTTTACAAGAGCTTTATGGAAAAGCAGTATAAGTTACTACTTTGTAGCATCTATGAGTTATTGTTAAACAATCGTAATATGAGCATTAAACCTACGCTTGCAAGAATTGTTATAAATTAATAATATTTGATGATTTATTAATTAGTCTGGGACATAGGAAAAAGCAAAGAAAGCAACATTTCGGTATTTTAGACAGGCAAATAAAAGAGGAAACAAATAACAAAACAATCATTAATGGAGGCTTCAGTATCTGGCAACATCCAGTTCTCAGGAGATTCAGGTCCCGCCCCAGCCGGACACTCCAGTTCTCTCAAAGCTGATCAGAGGAGATGGCGCCTTACCCATGCTCGGTCCTGTTAGAGTCACATGTCTCTTACATGTAGATTTATGCATTCAATGCAAACAAAACAACGAGAAAATTGTCTGAGATTAGCATAGAGATGTTTGAGTCTGAGCTTCTGAATCTGGCTCTCTGCAGACAGATCTGAGTTTCCATATGCCAACATTTTTCACTAGAGCACAGATAAGCTTGAGCTGGTGTTGGTTACCTGCACTTGGAAGAGTTGTGCTCAACACATACTCTGTCAAAATTGAAAAAAGCAGCTATAATTCAGTCTCGGGGGGAGACCGGCGGGGCAGTCTCCAAACGTTTTGAGTAGCAGAACACTAGATGGATGCATTAAAATGTGTCTCTGCTTTGTCTTTCACAGAGAAAGCCCTAGAGCCTGTCAATGTGACACACATTTGCTGAAGTCAGTTGCTTGCCAGCTTGTTTGTCTCTGCTCCCAATGAATCTGCCCTCCCATGTTATTGCCTGTATTAGCTGGCAGTTATGAAGATTGACAGATCGTATCATCCCTGTCCCTCTCTAGACGGAATTTGTAACTGACACTTCATTTTTGTGTGGGATATTCATACATAACATTAATAAGTTTTCTGAGTTGCCAGCTGCCATCCATCCAGTGTAAACAGAACACAGAACACATTTTTTTGTTTTGTTTTGTAGTTATGGTTGTCCTGGTTAGTTCTTGTTGTCAGCTAGACACAAATTCAAGTCACCAAAGCAGAAGGAACTTCAACTGAAGAACTGCCTCAATAAGATTGGCCTGTTTCTCTCTGAGTTCGAGGACAGCCTGGTCTACAAGAGCAAGTTCCAACACAGTCTTGAAAGCTACAGAGAAACCCTGTCTCGAGAAAAAAAAAAAAGATTGGCCTGTAACTAAGTCTGTAAGAGATTATCTTGACTGATGATTGGTGTGGGAAGGCTCAGTCTAATTTGGGCAACGCCTTTTCTAGATAGGTAAATTTGGGCCGTAGAAGTGAGCTAGTTGAGGGTGACCCAGTGAATGAGCCAGAGTCCTTCTATGGTTTCTTCTTCTGTTTTTGGTTTAGTTCATACCATGACTTTTTTTAGTAATAGATTGTCACCTGGAAGTATAACTTAGCCGTTTTTTCCCCAAGTTACTTTAGGTCAGAGTATTATAGCACAGAAAACACAGTAGTAGCTAGATAACAGCTTAAATTTCTTTGGCATGGATATGTAAAAATACTCTGAGTGTTCTAACCGATTTCACAAATAACAACAATTTCCATGGTTATGAAGCTTTACCTTAACTCTGTAATTGTTGGTATTTTATTATATGTGATGGTGAATTTTTTACTGGGCTGAGAATGTTTTTAATTTTTTACTGGTGTGAAAATTGTGGGGTTTTGTTATGAATAGCATTGAGTTTCAGCTTTGTTCTTCTTGTCCTTTTTCTGCTCCTGCTCCCTTCAACCTCCGTCTCTTTATTTGTGTCAAATATAGTCCTCCTGCTTTCATGTTATCTGATCCTGTGAGCCTCCCTCCCTCCCTCCCTCCCTCCCTCCCTCCCTCTCTCCCTTCATCCCTCTCTCCCCCCTCTCTTCTTCTCCTTCTCTCTCTTCCTCTCTCTCTCTCTCTCCCTCTCTCTGTCTCTCTCTCTTCGTGTGTCTGGATTCTGTAGCTGAGAGAAAAAATAATGTTTTTCTGATGAAGTTGGCTTGTTTCACTTGCCATGACGATCTTTAGTTATAGATGCGTTCTTTACAATTTTCTCATAAACATTTTTCTTTATCACAAAAATTGAAGGTATTTATACATAATGATTCATCTCTTTAATCAAAAAGCTATAGAGTTTGGCAAACTATTTTTGACAGGAAAAATTATAAATATGATATATTGTATACATATTATATGTTGCAGCCAAAGAAAATAGCATATAAAATTTGTGAAATTCTTGGAATATACTTTATTTTCAAAGAATTTAACATTGTTGTTTAATATTTTCATTGAGGAAAAATATTGATCAGATAAACATCATTCTTTGTCTTGAGTCATAATGTGTTAACTACACTGACATGGAGTTGGATTTCTCCTCAAGCCCACCCTTTCTTCCTCTGAACAGTGACTTAGAGAGTAGAGGCCTTTCTGTATTGGAAGCAGTGTCTTAGCTTCGCTCACAGTTTGCCTGTTAATGGAGCATAGATTTCTTCACGCTCACATGTAAAGATATCTCAAAGGACTCCAGGATCTTGAGACATATCAAATGACTCCAGGAACGCTAGCATGAACACATGATTAGTGAGTGTACACTGATGATGTGTTAGGGAGGTACACATGTGTGTGGAGGTGCATGTGCACATGTGTATGTGTGTGTGTGTGTGTGTGTGTGTGTGTGAGAGAGAGAGAGAGAGAGAGAGAGAGAGAGAGAGAGAGAGAGAGAGAGAGAGAAAATAGAGGCGAGAAGACAATGTAAGGTGTCCTGGTTCCAGAGCCACCCATTTTTTTAAAGAGTCTTTGACTGGCCTGAACCTACCACTGAGGCTTGGCTGACTGGCCTAGGGCCCCAATGATCCATTTGTCTCTGCCTCCCCAGGGCTGGGTTTATAAACGTGCACCACAGACTACACTTAAAGTTTTCTGTTTGCACTTGATTTTTAGATTGTGCAAACTCTTCATTTCCTGAACATTAGTTGGGGAGCATCTCGCATTTTGCAGATGAGAAATTCAGTGGACATTGTCCCCAATATGTCATGTGTTGAAACTATGCAGTGTTTCTCGATCTTCCTAATGCTGCAGTCCTTTAATACAGTTCCCATGTTGTGATGACCCCCAAACAACCAACAATTATTTTCATTGCCACTTCATAACCGTAATTTTGCTGTGGTTATGAACTGTAATGTAATATCTGATATACAGGATGTTTGAAATGTGGTCCTCAAAGGGGTCACAACCCATAGGTTGAGAATCACTGTACTAGGGTCTCTTAGTCATCACCAATAGAAACTGACTCTGGATGACAAGAAGAAAGAAAATTTAGTGGCTCATAGAATTAAAGCTCAAAGAGTAAATGAACCTATATAGCAATATAGGAACTAGGTGATATTGGTAGTTCTTTTCATCTCAGTAATTTTTCCCTATGTTGACCTACAGTATAAAAACTAGGCATCGGGAATAGTGACGTCTGCTCTATTTTGCTCTCATAATTCAAAATAGGAAGGGAATTGTATTGATTATTTGCACACAATTTCTGGAGAGGACACCGTGGGATGACTTGGTTCTGCCAGAAACCCTTGATGCGGTCTTCCTTCCACAGGACAGTACCTGTGGGGGAGGTTGAATTGTGTGGCCGCTTGGTGTGAAGAAGGTGGGCGAGGCGATTGGCAGTTCTGTGAGGGTGGGTGAGACTTGTGGCAATGAAAGTAAGAAGTGCAGGGACAAGCTGAGACCGACTTGTGCTAGCGGTAGTGGTGGTTATGATGTTTGATAGGAAATGGGGTAGATAACATGGAAAATGTATTGTAGACCGGCTGCTCTGTTTCTGGATCTACTGGAGGGAGAGACAGACAGACAGAGACACAGAGATGAGAAAGACAGACAGAGAGACAGAACACCTCTCCGCTCATTTTATCTGTTGGGTTGGCTACCGATGTGTCTCATCTCTGGCACAAAGTTTTTGTAAGTTGGGGTCCTTTTCGGTTCACGACTTCTCTCTTAATGCCTTCTAGGTGGACAAAAAGATTGTCAGAACTGAGATAGGAGTTCTGCTGCGCCTCTCACACCCGAACATCGTAAGTGGCTTTTAGCTTACAATTCAAAGTCATTTCTAAGGCTGTAGAATGGGATCGTTGTTATGGGGAGGAGGGGTTCTTCCTCTGTCAGACAGTACGGCCCAGCTCATGGCTGTACCTCACACATCCAATCAGTTTTGGACTAGATAGACTAACAATGCATAGCACGCCTCCTTTCACGCATGAAAGGAGAAGAATTGGAGAGTTTTCTTCTGCTCTGGTGAAACACTGGCTTTCTCCCTCTTTTGTTTGCTTATCTCCTTAATATGCCGCTGCCGATAAGGCCCAAGAAGGAGAAGGCATTGCTTTCCACAGTCATTTCCGCCTCTGAGAGAGTATCTGCTTCAGAAATAATGCAAAGATGCAAATAGATGATGTGCCTGAATGGGAGGACTGAGTGGTTCCCAGACACTCCGCTGTGCTCTGTGTTCAGACGACACTGAGAAAAATGCCCAGCGCGAAGCTTTCTGGATCAACGGAGTGAAAAAGAACAAAATCATTTTCGCAGCAGCAACTTGATTTTACAAAATGAAGTCATCTACCTATTTTTTTTTAAAGCCTATTTGTATGAGAAAGTTATGTCTGGGCTGATGACCTGTAGTGCTCAAAGCAAAGTGCATACAACTTGATATGTGAATTAAAGGGACACCTCGCTACACAGCATTAATGAGTAAGAAGGTGGACTATAGGCCCAGGCTTCACACGTCCCTGTGTTTGCCATTTTCTATGCCTCCGTGCATTGACTTCTCACTTGTCTTCACGGCCCCGTAATGACAGCTCCACATTTTTATGAGTTCCCTGGTTGACATTTAAGGGGAAAATTGGAAGGGCCTCGTCAGCTGAGGGCTCTCTGAAGCTTCTGCAGCGGGGCCCTCATCAAACGTCGCTGGCCAGAGCTTCTTCCTACAGGTGCTATCCAACTACACGCAGGCTTGCTGATCAGAGAACAGGGCCGTCCCAAGTGGCTTAGGCCATTGTTGTCCACAGTGTGGGACAGCACTAGAGTTCAGTGTGCAGCGAAGTCCAGGGTGACTTGGAGTGAGCAATAATCAAGCATGACATACTCAAACATCATGCTATCCGTGCCTCTTCTGCCTCCTCTTTCTAAGGAAATCAGTGTGCAGCGTTCTTCACATGGAGGTCAGTGCTGGCCTCCAGATCCCCCGATGTCTGCAGAAAGGTCCACATTTGGTTGGATTATCCGAATCTCTACCACCTCTCTTTCCAACGACCCGTCACAGACAAGAGGCTCTAACTGCTAAAGAGTACTTTCCCAAGACCTGACCCAGCCTGTCTTGCCACACCCTAAGTTCAAATCCATTGTTTCCTGGAGAAAGCATTGCTTGTCTCTAGAATCCATGATGTTTCCAAACAGTTTTGTAAAGTTGGGTCTTGTTTTTGAGTCAAAAAAAAAAAAAATAACCCTGCAACATTTGAGTAAATTTTGGAAGTGTTTTTAAAGTCAAAATTGAATGGGGCTTTTGAAAAACCTGAGGTCACTGACAAAGCCATCAACTGAGAAAGAGAGGGTCCTCATGGCCTCATGAGAATCTTCCTAATGGGAGCATGGGGGACTTCCACTGACCTGACCCTGCCCACTGCTGATGCAAGCTATTGCCTTGTCCATAATTTTAGCCATCTTTAAGGAAGATGGGGACGAGCAGTTGTTGATGTTCTTTCTTGATGTATGTGTTTCCCTCAGATAAAACTTAAGGAAATATTTGAAACGCCCATGGAAATCAGTCTGGTCCTTGAGCTCGTCACGGGAGGAGAACTCTTTGACAGGTGAGTTGGGTCTAGCGGGTAAACAACAAAAATGTTTGCTCAATGTCACCAAAAAATGTTGGAAAGGAAAAAAAATCTCCTAAAAAATTTCATAATAAAAGAATTATGTGAATTGATATATTTTCTTAAACTAAATCTTGAAAAGATTGTGGAAGCAAGATGAACAGTGTTTGGTAAGACATACAGGTAAGTAATTTTAAAAAGAAGTCTGTAATATCTATTTACCTTCACAAACAATTATGTTAAAAAGTAGAATTTTCTAAAATCACATTCTACTTTAGTTAAATAGTAATATTTATGAGATTATTTTTATGAGAACATACTTAAAATGGCGTTCTCATTATGATCCAAACACTCATGAAGTCACTATTCTCTAGGTGATTATCTTTAACCCTCCCTCTCCAGTGTCCGACCGAGTCTTTGTAAACAGGTCCATGGTGCAGGGTGAAGCATGGTATGCTCTGGCCTGTGGTTGCCAGTTTCAGGGATTTGCTCGCATCTCATCACTCAAAGATGCTTGAGAATGGAAGACAAGAGGATACACCAAAATCTGGAAGAGCAGCTATGGGTCAAAACAGCCCTAGGCTTCCATGGTTGTCCCTCTCCCTGTCCACTCAGGAGAATTATGGGTGGGCCTGGGGGATCCTCTGCTGTGTTCATCAGGGTATTCAACCAAGAATGGGAGTGAAGATAGCAATATGAACTGATACTCATCATTCGTAGAAAGGACGAGAAGCTGACGTAAGGGTCTTGGTAAAGATTCAGGTGTGAGAGATAACTGGGTAAGGGAAGCCAGAAGACTGAGCCTGGATCCTGTCAGAAGGGCTGTCAGTCTTTCCAGAATGACCAGGCAACTGTAACAGTGAGTGGACTGAGAAGAAAGGATTAAAAGGGATCAACTTTGCTTGTGGAAAGAGGAGCACTAATCCCGACTCCCATGATGGTCTTGGATGTTTGTGTTGATCTCAGATTTACATATTGAAACCCTAACTCCCAAGTCAGTGGATCCGAGGTAGCTCATCTGGGAGAAGATGAATCCTGAGGAAGCCTCTGTGGGTGGGATTGATGGCCTTACGAGGGGAGCCCAAAGGGTGTGCCCACTCTTTCCTCCAGGAGATAATGAAAGGGCTGTGTCTCTAATAAAGCCACCCTCGGAAAGAATCAATCTGCCAGTGTCCTGGTCACGCACGTCCTAACCTCCAGATCAATGAAAAATAAATGTCTATTGATTATAAGACTTAAACAGTTGATCACTCTGTGACAGCCAGATAAACTGAGCGAGACAAACGAGTAGACTTCGGAACTGTGACTTTTTGACTATTTTAATAATAAGTAAGGATGTGGGCGTGCGTGAGTAGCCTGGCAGCGGTTTGACAACAGACTCATGGTCCTGAATCCTGACTCTTCCCCGCAGAGTAAGCTAATTGAGAGTACTGTGCTTAGTCTCTGTGAGCTTTGAAACACATCTGAAGCTGTCCTGCGCTTCTTGGGATGTATCTTATTCTAAAGTCATCTTGTTCCCATGTGCTTAGACAGCCTTTCTCTGGGGTGTTACCAGTATGGATTTATAATGGCTCCTCTAGTAACACCACTTTAACTGAGTATTTTTATGATATGGCTTCCTTCCGGGTACAGTAATATATTTTCTAGTTAAGATCCTACTGGCTGTGGAGCCGTGAGAGCTCTCTAAGGAGATCTTGCCTATTTCTCAGCTAATTATGGTCTATTAGATAGAAATCTCGTGCTCTTTAGTTATAAATAGCCGCGGACGAGAGCCCCACGTGGAAGTTACCTCTTCCCAGCAGTTCTTACCCTTGCCTGCCTCTTCTCTTCATTTGAGTTCACTGTAATCCAGCGCCTCCCCTTCCCTTTGCCTGAAGCTTCTCTGAGAGAATTTGGGATGAAATTTAATTCAGCTCTAGGAAAAAACAGTAAGAATGACAATGGTGTTGATAAAATCCATCCGTAGGAATAAATGGCATGCTCCTGTTTCCTAGACGACTGACGGCCAATAAAGTGCCCACCACCGTGCAAGGTCCCAGGGACTCAAAGACATGGTTTGCCTTGCGTATTGTTCACATTATCGGCATGGCTGACATCATCAGGCTTCTCCATTATGCTCTTAACTCACAGTGATTCTTAAATTTTATCAAGTTGAAGTCAATTCTGCAATTTTAGTTAATCCACTGGCTTTTCTTGAGAGCTAAGAAAATCCTAATACTGTTTGTTTCTGTGAACTTAGGCCAAGCTCTAAGTTACTGAGGGGTAATGATGAGAATTCATCCTGGTCTAGTGATGGCTCTAATGGGAACTAGTAAGTGAAGTCAGAGCATAGGTGGAGGGGTAATTGCCTTAGTCCATTAGAGTCAAGGTGGTTGTGTTTATTAGTAAAAGATCTATTCTGTGGTACCTATAAAAAATTAAACATGGTAGGATCTGCATTTCATGTTGAATTTACATAAAAATACACAAGAGAAATGGTGTAGGATTTTAAAATAAAATCAATGCTTTTTCTGTCTTAGAAAAGTCATATAACCTGCATATATGCATTTTATATAAAAATCCACTTATTTTTGACATAGCAGGAAAAAGAACAGTCCCAGAGTTCAGTTCTTCTCAATCCTATCTCAGCTCTTAAAACCCCAGCATCTGTCTCAGTAGCTTCCTAGTAGAGCAAACTCTGGCGCTTTCAGGTAAGTTTTCCATTTTTCTCTCCAGGAAATGATTGTATCTTACCTCACAGCAAACCCGGCACAATCTTCAGACTTCTAATTAAACATGTTTTTTTTTTTCTCCACTTTGTCTTAAAACTCAAAATTCCTTGTAAATCTCTTTGTCCTGGCTTATTTTTTTTTTTTAGAAAGTTTTGCTCACCAATGCCATAGAGAGATTTTTAGAATATAAAGCTTTGAATGTTGACTCCTCTAAGAGAGCAGGTTTTCTTTAGTTTTGACGTTAAAAAAATGTTTAGTGTGAGCAGTCTCTGGGCTACTGGGCTGATTCAATGGTGGCCTCCTGAAGGCCCTTCTGTTTTATGCCAGGGAACCATAGAGTCTTTAAAGGTCTACTTATTGGCAGTACAGGATCAGTATTTAGAGTACAGTTAGAGAGTGCATTGGTTTAGGAAAATGGTAGTAGAAGGTTTTCCTCTTGGGTCTGTGTCCTCTCCAGCCACCAGTAGTTAGGTAGGTCTGTTTGTTTTAGCTTGTTTCATTTGCTTGCCTGGAGCCTGCCTAACCACCATTGCTGACCACAGACATTCCGATGAATACTAGTGGGTTGTGTTTTCCTCTTACGAAAACTTAACTTCCAGGGGAAAGCAGAATGAAAAGGAGTCCATTTGCTGTGTAGATATCTCATGTCAAATTACTAGAGATGTTTTTGGTTGCGAACCCAACCTTTAATGGCCAAGTCATCTCTCTATTAATTCCTATGATAAATGGTCTTGAATTCAGCAGTTCTTTCAAAGGGCTTGGTTTCTGTGTGTCAATTCGCAGTCTTTCTTAAGAAATTCAGCCTCACACCATGGCAAGAGAAGGAACTACAGTTGATTTTCCATGTGGAAAATTTAAGTAAATCACTCTGGGCTGGTCTTGCATAAAGCGGTTTTTGAGCCCGTTCACTCTTCAGGCTTTGTGGGCCTTTTTCTTTTTCCAGGGACATGAGCTAAAGAAAATATTAGTGTGTTTCAAACCATGCATATTTTATGTCTCTGACTCTAAATTTATTTTTTCTGTCCTTTCTATAACTTAAAATGCCCTTTTAGTAATCACGAAGGGTCCATAACCAAGGGAAAGGGTGAGTATATTCCGTGCACTTAGTCTGTCAATTGCATCAATTACCTGTTCAAGACAAGTGGATCCATCTACTTAACCGATACAGCTGAGACTAACTGGATTTTCAGGAAACTGTCACTAACAAAGATTCCATAAGTAAGGACTACTTCTGACCCTGTTTCTTCAGGGTGGTGTCATGGTTGATAGTGGCATTAACCAAATTCAGAAAAGTCTGTACTATGAAAATTGTGCTAAAATTTGTCATGAATTTAATCCTCTGAAGTGAAGATACACTGTATCTGATTGTCCATAAAGGATAATTAGTCACTGGATCCTGGCTACCTGCAGGGAAGTCTGCATAGCATTTCACCAGGATGGTTCGCTTGCTCCTCAAAGCAACACACACACAGAGTAGGTCTTCTTTTATACATTTTACAGACCTCCTCACATCAACACACACAAAGAGTAGGTCTTCTTTTTTTTAATATAATTTTTTATTGAAAAAAAAAAGATTTCCGCCTCCTCCCCGCCTCCCATTTCCCTCCCCGTCTTCCTTTTCCCCCCTCCTCCCTCTCCTCTCCCCCTTCCCCCACTCCTCTCCCCCTCCCTCTCCAGTCTGAGGGGCAGTCAGGGTTCCCTGCCCTGTGGAAAGTCCAAAGTCCTCCCCGCTCCATCCTGGTCTAGGAAGGTGGACATCCAAACTGGCTAGGCTCCCACAAAGCCAGAACATGAAGTAGGATCAAAACCCAGTGGCATTGTCCTTGGCTTCTCAGCAGCCCTCATTGTCCGCCATATTCAGAGAGTCCGGTTTTATCCCATG